AAAAAAAAGAAATTAAAATTAAAAAAAGGAAAGCGCTTTTGAGCAAATTTCAAGAGAAATTACACCCTAGTATATTTTTGTGTACCTATTTGTTATAAAACGTCATTTGTATATAAATAAAAGTGTAACTTTCAGTTTCAGCTTTTGTCTTCATTCTTTCTCTATGTCTGATATTATCATCCAAACCCTGAGTTCATTCATGGTTAGGTTTAAGGAGCCAGGTTCCCTCGCTCGTTTCAGAGCCATTCTTAACCTGTTGCATGGCGAAGCACAGGGTAATAGACTTGTCCATCTTGCCCATAACTAGATGGATGGCCCAATTTGGACCTCAGTTTCCAGTTTAAATGACCTTTGGAGTGGTTTGTACTTCAGACACACTTTGTTTTGGTGGTTCTCATGTTTGAGTGCATGGCTTTTATGCTTACTAGGAAGCATTCTACTGCTTGAGCCATGTCTCTAGTCCTTTTTTAATACGGATATTTTTGAGATAGGGACTTTGCTTTTTGTTTTATCCTTCTTATCATAAGCTGAGATGATACTTGTATACTACCACACTGTTGAGATGATTCTCCTGAACATTTTAACCTGTATTGACCTCAGATAGTGATCTTCCTGATAGTAGTCCCCCAAGTAGCTAGAATTACAGTATAAAGCATGGCAACCAGCTGAGACACACTTTTAAAGCTTAATCCTTTGCATATATATGTTTTTAATGTTTTCAGCACTTAGAAAAAATGTTTGGCACAAAATTGGTACCACAGGGGTTTTTTTGAATGAATACTTTTTATTAATTAATACTTTAAATTTTTATTTTATTTTACTTTATTATTATTTTTTTATTGTGAAAGTACTGTACAGAGGGGTTACAATTACATGAGCAAGATAATGAGTACATTTCTTATCAAGCATTGTAGCCTCCTCCTTTGTTTCCCCTTCCCATCCCATCCTCTCCCCACCCCCCCACCCAACCCTCCTCGCCCTACTTTTAATTTTTTTGAACCCTGACTTTGTTAAAAATTTTTCTTGGGGAAGTGGCGCTGTGGCTCAAGTGGTAGAGTGCTTGCCTTGAGCTGACAAGCTGAGGGACAGAACTCAGGACCAGAGTTCAAGCCCCATGATCAACAAAAATAAATAAATAAAATGAATAAAACAATTTCTTTTGGGGCTGGGAAGGTGGCTCAGTGGTAGAGTGCTTGCCTTGAGCTGACAAGCTGAGGGACAGAACTCAGGACCAGAGTTCAAGCCCCATGATCAACAAAAATAAATAAATAAAATGAATAAAACAATTTCTTTTGGGGCTGGGAAGGTGGCTCAGTGGTAGAGTGCTTGCCTTGTATGCATGAGGCCCTGGGTTCGATTCCTCAGCACCACATAAAAAAAAGCCGGAAGTGGTGCTATGGCTCAAGTGGTAGTTTGATTGCTTTTATATCAGTAATGTATATGTTTCTAACAACTAACTTCAGTTAACTTTTTGTTGCAGAATTAATATACTTGGGAAGTAATCTAGAAACCATAATTATAATTTGGTATATTAGAAGTAATGTTGCTGAATACTTGGATTGAACATGCCTTTTTCCTTTAAAAATTCTGAATTAAGAATAGTCTTCAGGCAAGACAATTTATTTGCATGTATGCATACCTCCTCCATATGTATGTGCATATATATGTATATAGATATTTAATATAGTGCTAAGAATATTAAAACTTTTATGGTCTTTGTGCAGACACAGTTAAAAAACTCCAGGACCAAAAGCATGACATGGAAAGAGAAATCAAGACACTCCACAGGAGACTTCGGGTAAGATAAACCTTGTTAGGAAACAGTTTTCTGCAATTTGAGATGTGGTCATTAATCTATCATTTACCTTAAGCTGTAAATACAGTGTGATATGGGTCCCATTGGGCTTTGAGTAGATGGTAAATGCTATCATTTCAAGTTGGTACTGGTGCTAGATTTGGGGTAGAAGAAAGTACTAGTAATTTATGAGTGAAGGTTTTAGGAGGATAGATTTAGGAACCTTGTATATTTGGAAAGACAACAAGTATTAGTTTTTAATTATAAAGTGTCCTAAGACTGGGCTTTTTTCATGTGTGTTTTATTTTTAAATTACATACATTTAGTTATGGGAGGGGTGGCATTTCACTGTGACATTTCCACATAGTTACAATGTTTTGGGTTTTTTAAACTGTACATATGTACATATATATATGCATATATATAGATATATAGGTAGATAGATATATGTCTTTTTTGGTATTGGGAATCAAACTCAAGACGTTATATTGCTTGTTTGTTTTTTTTGTTGGGTCCGGTCATGGGGCCTGAACTCTGGGCCTGGGCGCTGTCCCTCAGCTCCTCAGCTCAAGGCTAGCACTCTACCACTTGAGCCACAGCGCCACCTTCGGCTTTTTTCTTTTTGCTTATGTGGTGCTGAGGAATCGAACCCAGGGCCTCTGGCATGCAAGGCATGCGCTCTACCACTGAGCCACCTTCCCAGCCCTGAAGACGTCATATTGCTAGGCAAGCACTTACTCACTGAGCTACATCCCAATCCCACACATTTACAGCATATTCCCATCAGTCTCACTCCTCTATCACTCTTTCTTCTCCTCATCCCCCTCCCTGAAATAATTTCAGCAAGTTTTTGTTTTTCATACACGCGAACAATCAATTTTGACCGCATTCATCTTCTTTCATCCTACTTATTATGTATGTCGTATTATGTTATGAATGGATTTGATCAGCTTATATACTAACTTTAGAGTTTAGGTCTTGCTACAATTGCTCAGGCTATCTTCACGCTGTCAAAAAATTGCTTTGCGGGCAAAAGGGCTCCAGGATGGCCCAGCTGTGGCTGTGTTGGAGGTGGGGCCGTGGAGAACTTTCCTGCCCAGTCATACTGCCCCCTTCATGACTGTGGGAAGCAGCACGCCATACAGCTCCTCGCTGCCTCTTGTATAATTCTGTCTGCCTATACTGAGTTCAGTGTTTTTCTGCTGACTTCCTCTTCCTTTTCCTTTACTTTTGATTTTTTTTTCCTACTAGGTTTTGATGTCAGTTTATTTATAGTTTTGCACTGTATGGTTCACGTACCATTTATATACCTTCTTGAGCTTTCTAGAGGTAAAGTTCTAGACTTTTGATATTTATTTTTGTAAGATTAGCTTTGAAAAGCTTTATGTTATTCTCCTTAATATATATTGAACACTCGGATGCTTTAGTAAGCAGATCATCTAATCTTCCCTTTTTTTTTTTTAAGAACAGGTTTACTAATAGTTGTATTACTGGTTAGGTACAGACTGTAGCAATTCTCTAGGGTTTAAAAAGAATCATTAAAATGCATGATAGCAGTATAATCACACAGTTTTATTGCTTTAAAACCATCATTGTTTTCTTTGGAAATAAACTTTTTTTTCCTTTTTTTTTTTTGTCAGTCGTGGGGCTTGAACTCTGGGCCTGAGTTTTCTTTTCCTTTTAGTGCCAGTCCTGGAGCTTGAGTTTAGAGACTCGGTGCTGTCCCTGAGATTTTTTTGCTCAAGCCTAGCACTCAACCACATGAACACAGCTCTATCTCTGGCTTTTTGGTATTGGATATAAGAGTCTCAGACTTCACTGTTCTGACTGGCTTCAAACCTCCATCCTCCAATCTCAGCCTCCTGAGTAGCTAGGATTATAGGCATAACTAATATTTAGATTTTGTGTGTGTGTGTGTGTGTGTGTGTGTGTCTTGGGGCTTGAAGTCAGGAGTCTGGGTGCTGTTCTTGAGCTATTTTGTTCAAGGCTAGCACTCTACCACTTGAACCACAGCTCCACTTCTGGATTTTTGGTGGTTAATTGGAGATAAGACTCTCTTGGACTTTTCTGCTCAGACTAGCTTTGAACATTGATCTTTAGATCTCAGCTTCCTTCATAGCTAGGATTATAGTAGATATGACCCAACATGGCCGTTAACATTTACTTTTTTAATATAGGAAGAATCTGCGGAATGGCGACAGTTTCAAGCTGATTTACAAACCGCAGTAGTTATTGCAAATGACATTAAATCTGAAGCCCAAGAAGAGATTGGTGATCTGAAGCGCCGATTGCATGAGGCACAAGAAAAAAATGAGAAACTCACAAAAGAATTGGAGGAAATAAAATCACGCAAGTATGTTCTAAGAAACCAGTTGTGTACTATACTTCAGTAGAAAATACTTCAACACCAATTTAGTGATAAACTTTTTTGTTTTTGTGTTTGTCATTTCATGGGGCTTGAACTCTGGGCCTGAGTGCTGTCCTTCAGCTCTTCAGCTCAAGGCTAGTCCTCTACCACTTGAGCTACAGTACCACTTCTGGTTTTCTGGTAGTTTATTGGAGATAAGAGTTTCACAGACTTTCCTGCCCGGGCTGGCTTTGAACTGCGATCCTTAGATCTCAGCTAGGATTGCAGGCATGAGCCACTGGTGCCCAGCTTTAGTGAAAAACTTTTTGCATCTTATTTTATGAGACCTGTAAAATACTGCAGTCTGTATGAATCTTTCATAGTGTTTTTCTGTGCTCCTAGTCAACAACTTTGGAGGCAGATGATTTAGAACTGTACCTTATGATTCTTCTTATCTTACAATGATCCAGTCCTGTTGTTCCTTTTTCCTTTTCTTTTTCTATTTTTGTGCTAATATTGGGGCTTGAACTCAGGGTCTTGCATACTCCCTTAAGTATCCTCAAGGCTGGTGCTCTAGGCTCCACTTCTGGCTTTTTGCTAGTTAATTGGAGATAAGAGTCTCATGAACTTTTCTACCCAGGCTGCTTTTGAACCTTGATCATTAGATTTCAGCTTCCTGACTAGTTAGGATTACAGATGTGGGTCACTGGTTCCTGGCAAGTTTTTCTTTAAATTAGGGTAGACTTCCCTTGTGTCCCATTCTGAGGTGCTCCTTGCTTCTTATTAGCTAGATCTGATCTTGGTCAGCAACCTTAATTTCCCTGAGCAGCCTCAGTTTTCTCATCTTTGAAGTGAAGACAATACTACTTTCTTTCTTTCTTTTTTTTCTTGGGGGGTGGGGGGGTCTGGTCGTGGGGCCTGAACTGTGGGCCTGGGCACTGTCCTTCAGTTCTTCAGCTCAAGGCTAGCACACTACCACTTGAACCACAGCGCCACTTCCGGCTTTTTTCTTTTTGCTTATGTGGTGCTGAGGAATCGAACTCAGGGCCTCATGCATGCAAGGCAAGTGCTCTACCACTGAGCCACCTTCCCAGCCCAATACTACTTTCTTTATAGTATTGTAAGGAATAAATGAGATGGTACCTACAAAGTGTTCAGAGCAATGGCCAGTACACTTTAGCTAGTAATTTTAGAAACCTAAGTAAAGAATCAAAGTGAATTTCTCTCTACTTCTTATTTGAAGAAGGTCCATTTGTTTCAATCACATATCAATAGTACATTTTTTCTTCATCCAACAGATACTGGAAATGTATAAAATTTACTAGGTGAGAGGCCGTCAGGATACGATCTGAACTCAACAATGAGACACCATCTATGAGTGGGGGAGAGTAGTTTTGCATTTGAGGTTATTACAAACTGGATTATTCCTTGAGTAATTCTTAATTAGACATAGGAAAAAGTTAAAAAATAGTGTACCTATGACAACTTTATTTTATTATTCCCTAGTCTTAGTGTATGTCCCAGAGAAAAGTATTGCTAAACATTTTTCATTGGCTTCCTTAAGTAGAATTTGAATGAGGCTAAAGATTTTTGATCCTCCATTGATAGAATCTTTGTTACTTTTGTTTCTCTGTATATTATCAGAAATGCCTTATTTGGCAGTTATGATGAGTGACTGAAATTCTTTTTGTTTATTTTTGCCATTTTGGGGACCACAGAGGATCAAACTCAGGGCCTTATACATGCTAGGCAAATGTTCTACCACTGAGCCACACTCCTTGCTCTGAAATTCTCCTTTTAAAGGATCATTCCATTGGCTCCTAAAACCTCATGAATCTTTGAGATACATGTTTAAAGCAAGTTGCATTCCAAAAGAAGCAGCATCTTGTACAACAGTAATCGTCAGTAATTTTGAGGCTCTTCTACTTCCACAAGACCCATCATTCAGTTAGCATTGTTTTCATAGTAATACTAACAGGTTGTTAGCTCTTTTTACTGGGTTTTCCTTTTCCTTTTTGGATCTTGAGCTTGCTAGGCAGGCATTCTACCACTTAAGTATGCCCCAGTCCTTCTTGCTTTATTTTCAGGATAGGGTCTTATTTTATTTTGTATTTTATATTATATTTCATTCTGTCCTGTCCTGTCGTGTCCTGTCCTGTTCTGTTCTATGCCATGCCAGTCCTGGGGCTTCAACTTGGGACCTGGGTGCTTTTTTGCTCAAGACTAGCACTCTAAGCCGGGCACTGGTGGCTCACGCCTGTAATCCTAGCTACTCAGGAGGCTGAGATCTGAGGATTGCGGTTCAAAGCCAGCCCAGGCAGGAAAGACTGTGAGACTCCTATCTCCAATAAACCACCAGAAAACTGGAAGTGGCACTGTAGCTCAAGTGGTAGAGGACTAGCCTTGAGCTGAAGAGCTGAGGGACAGCGTCCAGGCCCAGAGTTCAAGCCCCACGACCGACCAAAAAAAAAAGACTAGCACTCTACCACTTGAGCCACAGCACTACTTCTGAATTTTTTTTTCCAGAAGTTTATTGGAGATATGACCCTGCCCTGGCTTTGAACTGTCATCCTCAGATCTCAGCCTCCTGAGTAGCTAGGATTACAGGCATAGGCCACTGTGTCTGGGCTATATATTCTTCTTTCTTTTCTTTTTTTGCTGGTCTTGGGTCTTGAACTTGGTCTAGGTGTTGTCCCTGAGCTTCTTTTTTTTTTTTGCTTATGTGGTGCTGAGGAATCGAACCCAGGACCTCAGGCATGCAAGGCAAGCGCTCTACCACTGAGCCACCTTCCCAGCCCTCCCTGAGCTTCTTTTGTTCAGGGTAGTGCTCTGTGAGACACAGCTCTACTTCCAGCCTTTTCTGAGGAGGTTATTGGAGATAAGAGTCTCACAGACTTTCTTGCTCAAGCTGGCTTTGAACCAGGATCATCAGACCTCATCCTCCTAAGTAGTTAGGATTTAAACATGAGCTACCTGCACCCAGCTAGGATGGGCTATCTTAATCATTTTTGAGAAACTTCCCACTAGAAGTCAGTCTTAATATCTGTAGTTTGTCTCCCAATTATTTTCAAATAAAAATGAAAAGACAGTAGTTTAAACAAAAATTATCACAGAATGCTTCCCTCAAGGCAACCTCATATATGGATACACAGCAAAAATGCCTTTTTGTACTTACCATTTTGTCACACGGAACATTAAAAATAGGATACCTGAGATTTGGTAAAATTAATACTTTACCCTTTCAGGAAAGGCATCTTTAGGTAAAACCTGCATTTTGTTTGGTTTGGACTTTTGGCACTTTTTAAATGTATGTGGTTGTTTAATGATTATGAATACAATTTGGTGCCAAGGCCTTGACTCATAAGGTTTATATTTTATCACTCTCAGTGCAAAAGTAAACATAGTGGCTGGGTATGGTGGTTCATATCTATAATCCAAGCTACTTAGGAGGCAGAGAGCAGGAGGCTCTTGATTCAAGGCTTAGGTAAAAAGTTAGTAAGACACCTATCTCAGTGAATAAGTTAGAAATAGTAAAGTACAGCTGTCATATCAGTTATGTGGGAAGCATAAATAGAAGAATCTCAATTCAGGCTGGTCATAGCAAAAGTGGGAGCCCCTAAAACTGAGGCTTAGCTCAGTTGGTATAGTGCCTGCATGATAATCACAAAGCCCTGAGTTCAAACCTCAGAACAAAAATTTTTTTAATTAAAAAAAAAAATATATATATATAAGGCATACTGGGTGCTGGTGGTTCATGCCTATTATCCTAGCTACTCAGGAGGCAGAGATTTGAGGATTGAAGTTTGAAGCCAGCCCAGAAAGAAGAGTCTGTGAGACTCTTATCTCCAATAAACTACTCAGAAAAAGCCGGAAGTGGTGCCGTGGCTCAAGTTGCAGAGCACTAACCCTGACCAAAAGAAGATCAGGGATAACACCTAGGCCAAGTACTGGCCCCAGTATAAGCCCCAGTACTGGCACGAGGGAGCGTGTGTGCGTGCGTGCGTGCGTGTGTGCGTGCGTGCGTGCGTGCGTGTGTGTGTGTGTGTGTGTGCCAGACACAGTGGCTTATGCCTGTAAGCATTCTCCTTTTGCCCTTTGTCTTATCATTTTGTTGTTCCCCTTGCCTTCCCTAATTCAGATAAACGTATATACAATAATCAGGGTACCAAAATCAAATACAATGACAGTAGGGGATAAACCATAGGGAGGAAAAATAGAAGAGAAACAAGAAAAAGCTGTGCACTGGTGGCTCATGCCTATAATTCTAGCTACTCTGGAGGCTAAGATCTGAGGATTGGGGTTCAAAGCCAGCCCAGGCAGGAAAAGCCCATGAGACTCTTATCTCCAATAAACCACTCAGAAAGCCGGAAATGGCTCTGTGGCTCAACTGGTAGAGCGCTCACTTTGAACTGAAGAGCTGAGGGACAGCACCGAGGCCCAGAGTTCAAGCTCCACTACCGACAAAAAAAGAAAAAAAGAAAAAAGAACAACAACGAAAAACCTCTTGTGTCCATGTTTTGGAGTTCATTTCACTTAGCATCATCTTATATGGTCACATGTACATAGCTATTGAGCTATTCTGCTGATCTGCTAGGATTATCCTAGACCTATACTAATAATTACAAAAGAGGGAAGCCATGGGACCTATGTTTCTTTGGGTCTAGCTTACTTCACTTAATATGATTTTTTCCCCCAAGTCTTTACATTTTCTTACAAATGGGACGGTGTCATTCTTTCTGATGGAAGCATAAAATTCCATTGTAAATATATAAATATATATACTACATTTTCTTGATCCATTCATTTATTGAGGGGCATCTGGGTTTGTTCCAACATCTCTGGCCATAAAAGAAATGCAAATCAAAAACAACACTGAGATTCCACCTCACCCTAGTTAGAAAGGCCCTTATCAAGAAATCTATTAATAACAGATGCTGGCAGGTATGTGACCAAAAGGGAATACTACTACACTGTTGGTGGGATTGTAAACTTGTTCAACTACTCTGGAAAGCAGTATGGAGGTTCTCAAAAGACTAAACATATAGCTCCCCGATGACCCAGCAATCCCATTTCTGGGCATTTACCCAAATGACCACAAACAGACCCATACTAAAGCTACCAGCACAACTATGTTCATCATAGCATTATTTACCATAGCTAATATTTGGAACCAGTCCAGATGCCCCTCAACAGATGAATGGATCAAGAAAATGTGGAATATAATTATTATTAATATTTTGTCAGTCCTTGGCCAGTCAAGGCCTGGGCACTGTCCCTGAGCGTCTTTTGTCCAAGGCTAATGCTCTACCACTTGAGCCACAGTGCCACTTCTGGCTTTTTCTGTTTATGTGGTACTAAGGAATTGAATCCAGGGCTTCATACATGCTAGGCAAGCACTCTACCACTAGGCTATATACCACTAGCCCTATAATTATATTTTTAATAGTAATTTTTCATAAGGATATTTTCATCATGTAAGTCCTGGGTTTACCTTAGTTTTTAGGTGAGATAAATATTTTATATAGTTCTTAGTTTTAATTAATGGATAAGTAAAAACTTTCTGGAGCCCTCAATAATGTTTAGGAGTGGAATGGATTTCTGAGAGCCAAAAGTTTGATTGCCATTATTGATCATTAAACTTTCTAATCATGACAACTAGCTGAATATGAATCCTATTGTACATTTTGAGGCAAAAAAGCCTGCCAGCAGAGTCAAATGACTACCAACAACAATTTTTCCTTAAGGACTGGCTTAATTTTTGTTCCTAAGTATACTTGATAGTTTTATGACATGCAAACTCTGCAATTGTAATCTCATTTCAGATAAAAAAAATTTATTAGCTCAGTAAGAAGGTCAGAAATGAATGGTAATTTACTTTTCTGATGACTCAGGATAAATTACCATGAGCTGGTAGGGGATTCATGTTACAAGTATGGCCTATTCTTCTAATTCTTCATAGATATTCTGTTTAGAGATTATAGCAGTTTTGTTTTATTCTTTAAGAACATGGGCTTTGGTTTCATTTCTTCATTTTCATGTCAAAGTACAACATATTAGCCAGAGCTGGCAAAAATTATCTACATAATGCTGAGGACTCCTGAGGACTGGGCCTTCCCAGCAGCAGAGCACTCTACTTCCCAGAAGTAGAGATTCCAGCTTCAAGTCAGGCCTGCAGCTAGTCTGCCTCCCATTTCATTGCTGATTACCTACTGATGTCCTCACTGGCACATACTTAGGTGAAATGGAATTTGATGGTTACTTAACTTACTTAACCTGATTTGAAAATTTTAATATCATTTCCTGATATTTACCAAGCAAATGAGACTATTAGACTGGTAGTCTATTCTACTTTAATTGTACATTTTGAAACAACAATAACAACAACCAAAAACAAAAATTAATACCTTTCACTGCTTTTCAATTTAGAGGGGAAAATGTATATGATCTCTCATACAGCCACACATGAAATGCCCAAAGTTTAATATTGTTTTTAGGCAAGAGGAGGAACGAGGCCGAGTGTACAACTACATGAATGCGGTTGAGAGAGATTTGGCAGCTTTAAGGCAAGGGATGGGACTGAGCAGAAGGTCCTCAACCTCCTCAGAGCCAACTCCTACAGTAAAAACCCTCATCAAGTCCTTCGACAGTGCATCTCAAGGTAAGTACTTCCTTGTCTCCTATGCTCATGGCATATGATTATACCACTTGCCGTGTGTTTCCTGGACTTTATCTTAGTCTCTTGGTCTTTTATATAATATCAAACTTTTATATAGTATCAATAAGCCAAAAGGCCAGATCAATTTTAATGGAGGAGTTAGAATCTGTTCTGCTTCAGAAGCCTTTGTCTCAGACCTTACCATGTATCTTCTCCTCATCTGGATCACACACGTTCTTATTATTTCCTTTTTTTTGCTGGTCCTGAGGCTTGAACTCGCACCACCGTCCCTGAGCCTCTTTGTGCTCAAGGTTAGTGTTCTACCACTTGAGCCACTTCTGGCTTTTTCTGAGTAATTTTTTGGAGATGAGTCTCATGGACTTCCCTGCCTGGTCAGGCTTCAAACCATGATCCTCAGATCTCAGCCTCCTGAGTAGCTAGCTAGGATTACAGGTGTGAGCCACCATGCCTGACTTCTTATGACTTTCAATAACTTCTTCTTTTTTTTTTTTCTTTGTTGGTTGTGGGGCTTGGACTCTGGGCTTGGACACTGTCCCTGTGCTCTTCAGCTTAAGGAGAGCGCTCTACTGCTTGAGCCACAGCACCACTTCTGGTTTTCTGATGGTTTTTATTGGAGATAAGAGTCTCACAGACTTTCCTGCCTGGACTGGCTGAACTCCTTTCCTCAAATCTCAGCCTCCTGAGTATCTAGGATTACAGGCGTGAGCCACTGACACCCGGCTTTCAATAACTTCTTTTCTAAAACTTCCATATATACAACTATAATTCTCTGCCCAAGGGAAAGTTCCCTTCCCTTTATCTTAGCTTCTTTAGTTCTATGTATCTTAGTGCATCCTTGAGATTGACACTCATGTGTCCTAGACTTTTTTTTTTATCGGTTTGAATTTAGGACCTAATACTTGTTTGACTTGCTTGTGGCTAGTGCTCTATCACCATGCCTCTAGTTTGGCTTTGTGTGTGCGTGTGTGCATGTGCGTGTGCATGTGTGTGTGTGTGCCTGTACTGGGACTTGAACTCAGGGCCTTGAGCTTTGTTGACTTTCTTGCTCAGGGCTGGTACTCTACCACTTGAGCCATACCTCCAATCTGCCAGCTCAGCTTTTTGCTGGTTATTTTGGCCTCTTAGACTTCTCTACCTGCACTTGCTTGAACTGTTGATCTATGGATCTCAACCCTCCTGAGTAACTAGGATTATAGGTGCGTGCCACCACTGCCCAGCACTTTCCTAGATATCTTATGTCCCAAACAAATCTTATGTTCCCCAGCTTTCTTCACCCATGCGTAAACAGGTATATATACATATATACTTCTAGAATAAGAAAATAATGGCCTTTACTGTGAAGTTATAATCATGTGACTATTCAGAATACTAACAAAGCACTTCTAATAAAACATTACATAATAATAAAGTACATCTCACTGACCCAGAAAAGAATTACATAAGAATTGAAAGTAGGTATTTAGACAAAGAATTGTACATAAAGTGTTCATGATGGCACTATTCACAGTAGGCTCTCTAGTGACTCTATGAATGGAATAATGAAACCTGTTAAAGCGTATTCAGTAAAGGGAGAATAAAAGAGTAATAGAAAAGGTAAATTTGATAAAAAGTATATATACATGTATGGAAATAGCACACTGAGAACCCTTTGTATAATTAGTATACACTAACAAAATAAAACACTCGTAAATGTCCATACAAGGACAAACAAAAAATACAGTGGAATAGAAACCTCCTCAGCCATAAGGAATCAAATATTGCTACATGCTGCCTTCGCAGTATTATATTCAGTGAAAGAAACCAGGCACAACAGACCACATTTTCATAGAGACAGAAAGCAGATTGCGATGGGCTGGGAAGGGTAGATGAAAAGTGACTGCTTAATAGGTATGGAGTTTCCTTCTGGACTGATGAAATAACTTTGGAGCTCGGTAGAAGTGGCGATTGTATAATATGGTAAATGTGCATAATGCCACTGAACTGTACATGTGAAAATGGCTAATTTCATCTTGTGTGAATTTTATCTTCGTGTAGAAGATACCGGTAAAATTCCCAATTCTAAGTGTGAGTACTTGGCTCTATCAAAAGGTCCTCAGTGGTCACTGTTTTATCTTGCCATGCTTTGGGAGGGCTTCAGTTCACTGATGTAGCTCATTTTGAATTTAACTCTTCTTCAAATGAATTATTATTTTGGTTTTTTAAAAATAACCATGTTTTTGCAGCCATTACTAGAACCTAGATATATAAAAATAAATACAAAGTATGTATAAATAAGATATATATATATATACATACATACATATATATATACATATATATATATATACACATATATATATATATATATATAGTTGGATAGTTCAACTATTAGGAAGATTGACATACAAACACACATATTAAATAGATGTCAGGTAGAGCGGTCAATTCTACTGGAGGAAGTAAGGAAAGATGAGCAGGAGCGCACCTTTCTTTGATATAATACTCAATTGCTGGATATCTACAAAATGTCTGGCCTCTTATCTAAAGCACTTTTATGTGTATGTATTCCTCCCTCCTTCCTTCCCTCCTTCCTTCCCTTCCTTTATTCCATGAACTCAGGGCTTTGTGCTTGCTAGGCAAGTGCTATAGGCCATTGTAGGCAATGCCTACAACCTATCTCTGTTTATTTTGTTTATTTGTTTTATACCAGTCCTGGGGCTTGAATTCAGGGCCAGGGCATTGCCCTTGAGATTCTTTTGCTCAGGGTTAATATTCTACCACTTAAGCCATAACACCATTTCCAGTTTGTTGATGTGGTACTGAGGAATTGAACCCAGGGCTTCATGTACGCTAGGCAAGCACTCTACTAAGCCACATTCCCAACCCCTGTTGGTTTGTTTGTTTCTGGTTTGGGGGCTTGAACTCAGGGGTTGGGTGCTATCCCTGAACATGAGCCATTGGTGCCCTGCTCCATCTCGTATTTTTGTTGTTGTTGTTTCGTGTGTGTGTGTGTGTGTGTGTGTGTGTGTGTGTGTGTGTGTGTTTTGCTGGAGATTGAATCTAGAATCTTGATGCATGACCCTCGGTAAGTACACTGTACCTTTGGGCTATACTCCTCAGTCCTCTTTTTTTAATACGTAGATTTCATTGGTTTACGGACTACTTTTGTAAAGTAATTAACAGCAAAAATGAAATACTGGCTTAAGGAGGCAGAGAGTTTACCTGGTAGGAGGGGAACCTGTCTTGAAGGGCATAGGTTAGGCAGCAGCTAAGGTAGTGGGAGGGGGTGGGGTGGGGGAGATTCAAGAGTTTTGGCTTATCTAGTGAATTGTTAAATGGAGTCCAGTTAAGAAAGCTTCTATTCACACTGTAAAGTATTCAGTTTTTACTTGTTTGTTACTTTTGTAGTACCAAACCCTGCTGCAGCTGCAATTCCTCGAACGCCTCTGAGTCCAAGTCCTATGAAAACTCCTCCTGCAGCAGCTGTTTCCCCCATGCAGGTAAGGGCTGGGAGCCCCAAAACCTGAAAATGAAATCTCTTCTTTAAGTCACACATGCATGACTCAGGTAGGCACTGATTGCCTGAGAGAGGCATATGTGGAATTTGTTGCCTAAGACTGTATATTCTTCATGGAAGTAAATCATAAATATAAATGTATTATTCTAGAAAATGTAGATGACTCTGTAAGATGCTATGTTTCATCTTTTCTGCCTAGTGAGTCACTTCAAAATTTAGTGACTTAAAAGTGCAACTATCTTTTTTTTTTAATTATTTATTTTTTTATTTGTGAACATACTGAACAGAGGGGTTACAATTACATGGGCAGGATAATGCGTACATTTCTTACCAAGCATTGCAGCCTCCTCCTTTGGTTTACCCTTCACATCCCTTCCCAGCCTCCCCCCTCCCCCCAAAAAAGTGCAACTATCTTATTAAAAATTGTTTTAGAGCGCTTGCCTTGCATGCCTGAGGCCCTGGGTTTGATTCCTCAGCACCACATAAGCAAAAAGAAAAAGTCAGAAGTGGCGCTGTAGCTCAAGTGGTAGAGCACTAGCCTTGAGCTGAAGAGCTGAGGGACAGCACCCAGGCCCAGAGTTCAGGCCCATGACCAGACCCCCCCCCAAAAAAAAATAAATTAAAAAAAATTGTTTTAAAATTTGACGTAGATGTACAAAGGGGTTTCAACTTAACAAGTTGGGTTATGAGTATAGTACATCTTGATCGTTGTCACCCCTTTCATCATTGTTCCTCATCTTTTCCATATTGAATATAATGACTATATTTGCCCCCAATTCCTGTCTTTATTCATCTGACCCCCTTCTCTTTCCTATACCCAAAATGTTTCAGCTCCCTGGTATTCATTTGTTAGACTGTTCATTAGTTGTTCAGAGGAGTTACGCCATTGGAATCCTCCCCTGGGTATACCATACATTAGTCTGTTGTGTATGTATGTATATAGCTGAACATATTTTCATATATGTTTAAAATTTAGGTCTAACCTCTACATATGAAAGCACGAGTCATTAATCTCTAGATTCATCAATTTCCCTGCAAATGACATAATATTCAACACACTGTTCTTTCTGATAGATGAGTATGTGTGTGTGTATGTATGTATATATATATATTTATAGTGTGTGTATGTATGTGTATATATAAGCATAAATACATATATACACACATTTTCTTCATCTGTTATCCATGAAATGGCAGATATCCTATTTTTACTTTCTGGGTTGGCTAGGCAGTCCTTTGCTGCTGTGCTCAGGCTCAGTATTGTGATTGCAGTATCAGGCAGAGTTGGCTGGGGCCTGAGCTTAGCTGGATCCTGGCCCCTTCTTTCCACACGTTTTTTTCTCTGATTCCTTCATCCCTTGGTCCAGCTCCAGGAGAATAAAAGTGGAAGTTAGCAAAAGCCATGTTGAGAAGATCTCAACATGGATCTTAGGCAGAATCACTTGTAGCTTGCTGTTTTGGTCCAAGCAAGGCACAGGATCATCTCAGATTTAGAAGGGGAAGGATCTGAACAAGGCATGAGTGCAGAGAAGCAGTATACATTTGGGGCCATTTTGCCACAGTGTAGCATGAAAACATGATTGATTCACATTACATTCAAGCTTCAGAAGTTACCTTTCATTGCTGTTGGGGGAATGTAGGCCAAGAGCAAGGTGGGGTCTGTTCTCTGTGGTGCTCAAAAGCCAAAGTGTGGCTTAATGGAATATATGTGATACAGAGAAGTCTTGGCCATACCTACTCTCTAAAACAATAGGACATAGGAACATTTTCCTTTTGAATTAACTTTTGTGCTATGCTAATTATTGGTCATGTATTTTATGAGTGGACTTTTGCAGAGTGTTAGCTTTGTCTTGGGATGTTGGGGGTACTGCATGGGAATTAGGACACCAACTCAAAAGGAACTCAGCAAGGCAAAGTTTACTTTTGCAGAAGAATACACCATCAGTCACAGCAGGCAGGCTGCTCCCCTTTTATCCCTAACCCAGCAGGCCCTGCCCTCTGTTCACACTGGCTGAGCTCAAGTTCACAATCTGCATTAGAATTTGGCTTAATTAACAGGAACAGGATGTCTTAACAGGAACAAGATGTAACCAAAATTCAGTGAGTTTGTAAAAGTGTAGCGGAAATATCCTACTCCTGTTTTCATATCTGTATATGTATGAAATGCAGTCAACAAGGGCCACGCTTCCGGAGTAGCTAGGATTATAGGCACGAGCCACCATGATTTTTGTTGGTGGTGGTGGTACTGGGGTTTGAACTTAGGACCTCATTCTTGCTAACTAGGTGCCTTACTTACCCCTTGAGTCAGGCCCTAAGTTTTTAGAGCATAGCCGAAGCTGTTTGAAACCCATGACTCTTCTGCCTTTTCTTCTTCACCTTGTTGATTATCAGCATGAGAATTTTTAAATGCATATATTCCCAGGCTTCATCTTAGTGAACCAGAATCTCTGGGGACTAGAGTCTAAGGTTGGGATTGCTAGGTTTTGTTTTTTTTTTTTTTAAACTCCCTGGGTGGGAATTCTCTTCTGACCATGAGGGAGTTGCAGGAGTTACTATCACAAACAAATAGAAAACAGGACAAAATGTAAGAACCAATTATTTTCAGACATTGTAATGTCTGAAAAAGTAATAGAAAACTGTTATTCCTAGAAAATGAAGGTACATAGGAAAACCCTGCTATGGCCCATGTTCTTTTTTTCTTGGAGGCAATTTCCAGATGATGGTGCCCAGAGATGAACTGCCTTGGAGCAAAGCAGGGAAGCCAGTCAGATCTAAGGGGACAGTACTGGGATTTTGACTTCATGCTTACTAGTAAATGCCTCTACTATTGTTTTTTTGGGGGCGGTTGGTCATTGGGCCTGAACTCTGGGCCTGGGCGCTGTCCCTCAGCTCTTCAGCTCAAGGCTAGTGCTCTACCACTTGAGCCACAAGACCACTTCTGGCTTTTTCTGCTTATGTGGTGCTGAGGAATCAAACCCAGGGCCTCAAGCATGCAAGGCAAGCGCTCAACCACCCAGCCACCTTCCCAGCCCTATATGGAGGTTTTTTTAAATTTAATGAATTGCCATTAGATATTTCAAGAATTTTTAAACAAAATAATGCAGTCATTATCAGGAGACCAGTAATCAGGGGTCTGCAGGGGAAAGATGGATGAAACTGTAAAAGGACCATAGAAAAAATCTTTATGGGGGCTGGGAAGGTGGCTCAGTGGTAGAGTGCTTGCCTTACATGCATGAGGCCGTGGGTTCGATTCCTCAGCACCATATAAGCAGAAAAAAAAAGCCAGAAGTGGCGCTGTGGCTCAAGTTGGTAGAGTGCTATCCTTGAGCTGAAGAGCTGAGGGACAGCGCCCAGGCCTAGAGTTCAGGCCCCACGACCGGACCCCAAAAAAACCCCCCAAAAACAAAAACAAAAAATCTTCATGATGACAGAAAAGTTCTATATCTTGATTATCACTATCCTGGTTGCAATGTTTTTTTTTTTTTCCCAGTCGGGGCTTGAACTCAGGGCCTAGGCACTGTCCCTGAGCTTTTTTTTGCTCAAGGCTAGCACTCTACCTCTTGAGCCACAGTGCCACTTCCGGCATGTTCTGTTTATGTAGTAGTGAGGAATCCAACCCAGGGCTTCATGTATGCTAGGCAAGCACTCTACCACTAAGCCACATTCCCTGCAGTGTTTAACTACAGACTTACCAGGTATTAGTATTTGGGAAAACTGAGTGAAGAGAACATGAATTTCTGTATTATATCTTACAACTATATATGAATCTACATAAATCTATAAATCTCATAATATTGGAAGTTTTTAAAAAGTTCGTTAATCCCATGGTATGCCTATGGCGTATGAATGTTATAACATTACTATAGCACAGGATGCAAATTTATGTTTCATCTTTGCAACACTTTTTTTCATGTGAGTTTTAGTACCAGATTTTACCTGACTTTGTATTATGTATCTTATGATTTCAGAGACATTCCATAAGTGGACCAATCTCAACATCCAAGCCCCTAACAGCCTTGTCGGATAAAAGACCAAACTATGGAGAAATCCCTGTTCAAGGTACATCTAAAAAAATGTCAAAATCTTTGTTTTGTTAGTTAGATTCTTTTGGCTGCTTTGGCTAATTATTTGCTACTTTCTTTGCTATTGACATCATATCAGGCAATCTGGTATACATTTGTAGCCAAGGTTACTAGTATATCTGGTGATGCTCCAGGCTCAGTCCCTATCTCAGGAAAAAAAAAATAAAAGGAAAGAGTACTTTATGTATTAATTACAAGTGGGGAAATGAGTTATTATTAATGAATGTAGTTTTTACAACTCTTTAAGGTTGTTTGTTTTTGGTACAGGGTTTTTCTATGTAGCCCAGGCTGATCTGAAACTTAGGATCTTCTCCTCTTAGAAAGACCTCTTCTAAAGAAACAGTGAAAGGTTTAGAATCTCCTTGGCCTAAACCCTGCCTTTCTTTCTTTCCTTTATATACCATTTTCTCAGTAGACCTTCACAGGATTTACATGGGAGGAAAGGCACAAAGTTACATAGTACTCCTCAGATGCATCCTGACCTACCTCTTAGCCCCTATGATGATGTCCCCAATCTAAAACGGTATATAGCTCATGGAGTGCTTAAGTCCCTCTCTTTAGGCTCTCCTAAACTCTGGAGTCAGACTTGCACTCTGACACTCAGCTCATTTTTAAAGCCTTGCTTATCCACCCCTCTTCAGTGAGGCCCTAAGTGTCATTGTAATATTGTGAATATGTCCCAGGGGAGGAGATGAGTGGACAAAACAACAGCTAGAGCCTGTAAAGTGTTTAGCACTATTTTATCCCATAATAAATATCCACTGTCGGCTTTTATTAATTATCTCTGTGAACTTAGTAGCACAAATGGCTGATGAATCTTAATAGCCTACAAGTAAAAAAATTTAAACAACTGAGTACTGTAGGATTTAAATTTTTAAATTATCTTTAAGTAGTTGTACAAAGGAGGTGCCATATGACAAAGCAGTTTATGAATACAGTTCATCTATTTGTTGTTGTTGTTGGTCGTGGGGCTTGAACGCTGAGGCCTGGGCGCTGTCCCTGTGCTCTTCAGCTCAAGGCGAGCACTCTACCACTTGAGCCACAGCACCACTTCCAGTTTTCTGGTGGTTAATTGGAGATAAGAGTCTCACAGAAATTAAATTAAAAAAAAAAAAAAGAGTCTCACAGACTTTCCTGCCCGGGCTGGCTTTGAACCAATGATCCTCAGTTCTAAGCCTCCTGAGTAGCTAGGATTGCAGGCATGAGCCTGGTGCCCGGCTTGAATACAGTCCATCTTGATCAGTGTCACCTCCTTCAACATTCTCACTCTTCTACACACCCCTTCCCTCTTAGATGTACTATTTCCTGTTGTTGATTTTGCTGTGTTTTGACCTAGTCTTTCTAACTGTAGGATTTTGTTTGCTGCCAACGAAGAGCTATGAAGAAGTATCTATACAAATTGTGTTCTGGGCTATATGCATTGAGGGCAGAGATGGAAATCAGTGGCTCAGGCACTCTCCTTCTGCAGCTAACTACATGTGCCCTGGCCTGAGGATAAAGTCTACCTGCAGTCTATGCCATTGTGGTCAGGGCAGGTACCAGGCAGCCACAGATTCTGGAATATGTGTAACTGTGGGATGATGCCCTCAAGCTTTGGTTAACTAGCTTGCCACTTCTGTGTGGTACTAGGCTGGAAATGCCTTGTAGGAAGGATCCTATCTGGAGGGCTCTCTACTTCTTTCTAGAGCATCTGGTTGGGCTGCAGCAGAGTGAGATTTACAAGGGGAAGACCCATCTCTGGCAGTATTGTTCAAATGTACTTGAGTCACTTTTTTTTTTTTTTTTTGGCCGGTCTTGGGGCTTGAACTCTGGGCCTGGGCTCTGTCCCTGAGCCTCCCTGTGCTCAAGGCTAGTACTCTATCACTTGATCCACAGCACCACTTCTCTTTTTCTGTGTATATGGTGCTGAGGAATCAAACCCAGGGCTTCCTGCATGCTAGGCAGGCACTCTACCACTGAGCCACATTCCCGTCCCTGAGTCACTTCTTTAAATATGGGATCCTAGACCTCTTAGCTCATGGGCTTCTAGGAAAAGGAGCTTGGAAATTCCATTTTCATAAGCACCACAAGGGACTCTTAGCATCAACTTGGGAATCTGAGCAAAAAATGAAAAAGTTTATTATTTCTGGCTTTTGTGGGTAAAGAAGGTGGAAGTTCTGTGGACCAAGGTTACTGAAAACAAACTAAATGTCTTAAAATTCTGTTCCTAGTTCTTTTCTTTTTATTACTTGGTGCCTCATTGACATGGCATTGGGCATGAAGTGTGTACCAGAAGCTGTGCTAGTGCTGTTCCTATTCTCTCCCTAGACTCTTCTAATGTCTTAATGAGGTTTAGTTGGAACATTGCAAATACAGGATATAGGGAAACACTGGGATGAATTTTTATGTGGGAATTTGTTGATCTTTTAAACAGTTATTAGAAAGATGACTACCTACAAAATTAAGAACAAGCAAATGACTTGTAGCCATACTAAGCTATTATTTCCTGGTCATAAAATCTACTGTGGTTATCGAAACTGTGACAAGAATAGGATTTCTGAGTTCTGTCTTAAGCTGCTTTTCTTCTTTGTCTTGGCATAATTTTTTTTTTTCATTTATTTTATACTAAATGTATTCCTGGGCTCTGTAAATTCAGTGGCACAACTTGGGTACTTTGCTCACCTAGATGTGTTCAGTGACTAGGGAGCTACCTCTAAACCCTTCAGTTCAGCATTATTCTCTGCATTCTTAAACTCGTGCAACAGAAAACTCTTTTTTGGGCCACCGACCCTGTGTCCAGCCCCACTGTTTGGCCTGGGCACACCTGCCAACTCCACCACTGTAACACCAGAATGGCACACATGGCTTCTTTAAAGTGACATCTTTCAGATGCTCAGTCGCTTTTCGAATATGTTTACCCTTGATGGCTTGGGCTGTTTCTCTGGTGTTCTTAAACTGAACACAAAGATTTGAACCTCTTGGCTTGTATGATTTTTTATAGGGTTTTCAGGTTAAGCAGATCACCTCAGGCCAGGAAGAGTGGCATAATTTTTTTTAATCTAGTATATAATTTTCATTTTGAAAGTTTAAGTGAAATTACTGAAATTTAAAAGGTCCTGTCTCTTATTCTACTTACACTTAAATAAGAGAATTTTGTTTTTCTAATTAGTATTTTATCATGTGTGCGTTTATGTTACAGCACCATGCCTGATTGGATGTTAAGTTGCAAAAAAATGTCTCAGGTTCAGCCAATAAAAATCTCCTTATTAATGGATGTGTGCTTGCACTCTCTCTCACACTGCTCCCCCCTTCCCCCTCCCCCCTCTATGTCATGGGGCTTAAATTTAGGGCCTGGGCACTGTCCCTGAGCTCTTTTTCTCAAGGCTAGTACTCTACCACTTTCAGCTACAGTGCCACTTCCAGTTTTCTGGTGGTTAATTGGAGATAAGAGTCTCATGGACTTTTCTGCCCAGGTTGGCTTTGAACCTCCATTCAAAGATTTCAGTCTCCTGAGTAGCTAGGATTACAGATGTGAGCCACCAGTGCTCAGTTCAGATGCTCTTTTACTAGTACTTTTGGCAATTGAATTTAGTGGCAGGGTTTGTTGATGCTTCCTCCAGGAATCTTTATATCATGTATCAGTTAGCTCTGGTGGGAGGTAGCTACCTGGCAAAAGAGCTGGAAAAGTTTTTACTTTCCCACTAACTCAGTGGAATTAGGAGGTCTTCAGTATTCAGCAACTGGTGGTGTCTGGATGAAAAGCTTGAGATTACTTGATGCTGATCAGTGTAGTATTGCTTTGACCATTGCCAAATAATGGTGTTTTAGTCAACTGTAGATCCATTATTAAATGGTAACCATCATTTAATAATGGCAATTCTTCCATTGGAAGTTGATTAGTCCAAGTGTAGCCATTAATTATATGGATATGTTTTCCATTCTTATAGTTGTATCTTTTCCAGAATGTGATATAAATGAAATTGTACAATGTACAGTCTTTTAAGTCTGTCTTCTCTAAGCAGTATGCGTATGTTTTGTTCTTATTGGGAAGCTTGTTTTATAAATAAATACCAGTTAGACCCAGGTCTTCTATTTCCTTACTGATTTCATGCCAACTTCTTCTATTATCAAGTATTGAACTCTCCAAGTATTTTGATTTTCAATTCTACCTATTTTTACTTTCATTGTTTTAAAGTTCTTTTTTTTTTTACGTTTATTTAATTGTAAAGGTGATGAACAGAGGGGTTGCAGTTACCTAGGTAAGGTAATGAATACATTTCTTGTTGAACAGTGTTACCCCCTTCCTCTTTTATTTTCCTGCTAGTCCTGAGGCCTAAACTTAGGGCCCGTCCCTGAGCTTCTTTTGCTCAAGGCTAGCACTCTACCATTTGAACCACAGCACCACTTCTGATCTTTTCTGTTTATGTGGTACTGAGGAATTGAACCCAGAGCTTCATGCATGCTAGGCAAGCACTCTACCACTTAGCCACATTTTCAGCCCTAAAGTTCTTTTTTTTTTTTTTTTTTTTGGTTGGTTGTGGGGCTTGAACTCTTGGCCTGGGCACCATCCCTCAGCTCTTCAACTCAAGGCTAGTGCTCTACCACTTGAGCCACAGCCCCACTTCTGGTGTTCTAAGTGGTTTAATGGAGGTAAGAGTCTCTCGGACTTTTCTGCCCAGCTGGCTTTGAACTGCCATCCTCAGAGCTCAGCCTCCTGAGTAGCCAGGATTACAAGCATGAGCCACTAGCACCTAGCCCTGAAGTTATTTTGATAGGTACATTCACATTTATAATTGTTAGGCCTTCCAGAAAATTGAACCCTTTATTATTGTATAATGATCATTTTACTCTTGATTATGTTCCTTGTTTGGAAGTTTTCCATGTCTTATACTAATATAGCTACTCCATTCTACTCTTCTCTTGGTTAGTGTATCATGGTGTGTCATTTTCTTTCATTTGTCTTTATCTATGTGTAAATTTGTCTTTGTCTATATTTAA